CAGACACACAAAGACATGCTGAATCTTGCCAACGTAAAAAGAAGTTTCAAATTCGGTTCTTGATGGTGTTTATTTGTTAAAGATGGGAAAACGACATTTTGGTCTCCTAGGATGGTTGTGTTTAATTTTTTTCTTATATTTCTAGTGGTTTTGGGGTTGTATATTTTAATGTTATATTCTTTGCTACTAATGTTCATAACTATTATTTTTTTGTCTGTGTCTCAATGGAATACTTTTTGCCTCGAATTCTACTCTGAATATTTCTACTCTTTTTGTTTGAATATGTCAAGTATTTTTAAGCCTTTGATTACTTTTTACATTGTTGATCTTACACATAACATATATTTTAAAGAGGGTTTTTAAAAATACTTTCAGAAAAGATTCTAAAAGGTGTTTGGTTTTCTATTGTTGCATAACAAACCATCTCAAAAGTTTGTGGCTTCAAGCTAATATCATTTTAACTCTCATGGTTGAACAAGTGGATGGTTTTTCTGCTCTGTGGATATACAGTCACCTGGTGGCTCACCTAGACTAGAATATCCATGCAGGTGCATTCCCATGGCTAATGCCTTTGGAGGGATAGCTGGGCTCAACTGGGATTTGGGGACAGTGGGGCATGTCTGTTTGTCTCTCTGTCTAGTTGCAGGCCTCTTCCTCACCAAGTAGCCTTCTCCTGATCTCTTTAGGTGGTCCCTCCAGCAGAGTAACTGTATTGCTTATATGGCAGCTTAGGACTCCCAAGAGTGATAAAGTGGAAGCTGCCAACCCTCCTTGAAGTTGAGGCACAGAACTGTCATGGAATTCGTTCAGGCTCATTCTGTTCATTGATGTGAGTCATGGAGCCAGCCCAGTTTCATGCAAGAGGGTGTAAATGCCACGAGGTGTGATTCACCAACGGCTGCCTTTGGAGCCTACCTGCTATAATGAGAGAGTCAAGCCCTTCACATTTATCATTTTAATTGATATGGTACTATACATATAGCTAGGCATCTTTGCTTTTATTTCCTTTCATGAATTTGCATCATGTTTTTAATTCTTTTAATTTCTCTATCAAAATTAAGACTAAAGTAGTATTTTTACCTCAGGATGAATGAAGCCTTTGGCATGATTATACTTGTATTTAGTTATTATCTGGAATTTTATGCCATATTATAAATTTAAATATTGCATACATTCTTTTTTAAAAGTACTAGGTGTTTTCATTCATTTTTAACTACATAAACAATAACTATTTATACCTGACTAATTTACTTGGCCTCAGGATATGCTGTCAGTCTTAATATACCACTGCTTCTAGAGAATTGGGTTTATATTTTGATAAAATGTAGTAATATATCCTCAACTAATGTTTCAGGAACGTTTTATAGATTATATATGTGTCCAAATCATTGCTTTTTCCACATTATTTTATTTCTTGGAGTGAAATTCACACTGCAGTTAGTAGAAATTTCTCCCAGACTCTAACAAATTATTAGTGTTGAAAACAGGATCTACTTTATGTCTTTTCTTATTTGCGTTTTTATAGGTGTTTCACTGGGGTTTGTTTTAAATGTCTTAAATGAAAGTTGTAAGTTCATGGCAGGAGCTGGTAGCTTAACTAGACATTGTCTTTTGTTATCTTACATTTTATTAATCTTAAAAAAAAATACAAAGCCTTTTTATTGGCAGCAGGACCTTCTATCCAGGTGGTCGTGGTCGCCCTGAGATACTTTAGATGGAAAGAATGTTGGATAGGCTTTTGGATAGGCTTTTATTAGTGTGCTTAACTCAGCTAACCAAGTGGGAAAGTCACTTGTGCCAGAGGCCAGGGTGCTTTCCTGGTGACTAGCCTGTTATGGATGAAAGGTCACGCAAAGCTTTTCCTTCAGAAGATACAGTTATTGTAAGACTGCAGAGCCAGAAATGGGTTAAAATGCTGGCAATAATGTTTTATGCTTAATTTTTGAAATGCTGAGCTTACTCTTTGAAATTTGTGGGGAGGGCTTACTCAAAGATACATATTTTCTGGCAGTCCTGGAGGTTGGAAGCTCAAGGTCAAAATGTTGGCAAGTGTAGATTCTTCTGAGGCCTCTTGCCTCTTCACATGGCTTTGTGTGTGTGCATCCTCAACGTCTCTACGCCCTCTTACAAGGGCACTGGTCCTACTGGAGTAGAGCTCTACCCTAATGGCCTCATTTTAATATAATCACTTTCCCCCCCCATTTTTTTAGATATAATTAACAAATAAAACTGTAAGATATTTAAAGTGTACACTATGATGATTTGATGTGTGTACACACTGTGAAAGGATTCTCCCCATCTAGTTAACTAACAAACCCATAAATCCATCATCTCACATATTTATTTATTTATTTTTTGGTGAAAACATCTTTAAAATTTTTTCTCAATATTTTATAAATGCTTGAATGTTTCTATCTTTTTGTCTTCTGGTGTTAACCTTTTAGTCTCCCTTATCTCCTGTATAGTGCATTTCATTATTTTACAGTTTGGTTTCTTTTATTTGGCTGCTCATACTTTTTCTTAAATTCTCATTATTTTCTCTGTTTTTTGCTCTTTTGGGTTTTATTTGTTCCTTATCATTCTTTCACTCAGATTATAATTCTGTTGCCTTAATTTGTCCATCTATTTCTTACACATTGTTCTCCATCCCCACCCCCCAGGGTGTGATCTTTTTATAGGCTCGAAGGCTGTGTAACCCTCCGGCTTGGAAGAGCAGTGGGCACTGTGTCCTTCAGTGATGCCTCCTCCTCTAAGGAGATTTTATATTTCTTTGTTTTGTCTTGACCCCTAAAATGATAACTTGGGGATACACTGATTAAAACTACTTCCCAGAGGAGTGGTGGTTTGCTTCTGAAGATGGCACATGTGAACTTCCGGGGGGCTTTTGGACAGCATGCACCACCCATATGAGAAGCCCACTGTTCAGAAACCCACTGTCTGTATCACGGATTTTGTCACCCCCTGGAAAGACCACAACCTCCAGGGTCCCACAGTTGCAGATAGCTCTGCTGTGGAATAGCTGTGTGGACATGAGCAAGTTTCAGAACCAAGTTTTTTGAGGCTTTCTTCAAGCCTCAAGTTTCTTGAGGCTAGTTTGAAAAAGCAAAAAATCCAGACCTACTTTTCATAGTCATTACAAGAAATAGTGGTGGTGCCTATAAAATACCTGCATTGCGTCTGTCCCGTGGTAGTCACTCAGATGTGGGGCAAGGGAGGCAAGCCATGTGCCTCCAGAGGAGATGAAGGAGGTGGGCAGATTTGCCTGGAGCGGGTCTGCTCTAGTAGAGCCCAGAGTCAGAGAGGAGCCATGGGGTGTGAGTGTGGTTGAGCTCACGGAGAGGCCTGGCTCCTGCTTCAGCTGCCTGGAATGCGCTGCTTCTTGTGTATTAAGATGAACCATGGATCCATGGCTGTCACAATTTGGGGGTGGTAATGTAGAGAAAGAATTGCTTTAATAAATAGACCCAGCTTATAAGACATAGCCCGATTTCAGAAATGATACAGGGTGGGAAACGTGCCTCTGAAAAATGAAGGCTTTTTATCTGTAATTTGGTTCATCCTTCGCAGCTGCGTTTTGGGATAATTGTTGCTCTGAGGGTCTCCTGAGGTGACCTCTTAATAAACTTGGATTTTATCACAGAGACTGGCAAATCTCTACTTGAGGCTTCCCCAGTCTGACGTGGCTCCCAGGGTGGTCTGCCTCTTGTCCAGTGCCAGGACCCTGGGAAGAAGTGATTGCTCCATTTATTGCCATAGACTCTGAATCTCTCAAGGTATGGTGGGGGTGGGTGGTGTGTGTAGCATGGAGGGAGGAGTAGCTGTTTCTGTTCTCTAACTTCCTAGGAGCCCCAAAAGGATCAGCTGATCAGCCTTTGAAAATTAGGTCCTATGCTGACTCTCTCTGCTTTGTTCCTGTAGACCATGGGCTCCTAATCTTGGCTGAATATTAGGATCATCTAGGGGGTTAAAAAAACACCAGTGCCTGGTTCCTACTCCATAGATTCTACTTTAATCAGGTTGAGTTATAGTGTGGACATCTGGAGTTTTTTTTGTTTTTGTTTTTGTTTTAAGCTCTTCAGGTGACTCTGATGTGCAGCTGAGATTGAGATTGTACCACCAGACTGCTTCCACCTTTCCCTGGCCCAAACCCTTTGGCAGCTTATTTTCATCCCCCGAGTGATATGCCCTCCAGACCTCTTTCATCTGGTTGGGGGCCTTCAACCCCGTGCCAGCTTGAGCTGGTTTGCTTGTGTCTGACAGATTGCTCTTGGGCACTAGAAAGGGATTGAGTACTTTGAAAAATGTTTGTAATTCATGAGCCATTGGGGGCCTGTATGATACTGGCACAAAGGTATTAGGACTGCTTTGAGGAGAGACCTTATCTGTACTTTGTCCCACCTTTCTGCAGGTAACAAGCACCTTTATTTTCAAAATGGGTTGCAGCCCTTTCTTCTTGGTTAACTGTAAAGCAAAACAGCAAAAAAAAAAAACTTCCCTTAATTTGCAAAGTACTACACTACTAATAGAAGTTTCTTGCAGATTTTCACATCAAATTTTTAAAATTCCAAATTCTTATCAAATGCATACTTCTAAAATGTAGCGTTCCTGGAGATAGCCTAAAATTTGCCTATCTCTAGTTCTCTACAGCGCCTATTTTGAATGTGTGTGTGTGTGTGTGTGTGTGTGTATGTGTGTGTGAAGTTGGGGGAGCTACTGAACATTCTCTTCAACAGACAGCTGATGGGGCAGGTAAACTGAAGCTGGTTAAAAAGGGGCAGGGGCTGCATCCCTTGCTTACCCCCTCTTGCCAAGCCCCTCAGCCCACTTTGACACATGGAGGACCTCCCTGTGGACCACCTTATCTCTGCATTGAATCAAGGTAGCCCATCAGACTTCCTACTGAGTCCTCACTGGTTTGGCTGCTTCTAAAACTGTTTATGGTCTTTCTTGGACTGTGATTGTCACTTTCATTCTGGGATGTTATGAAAAAATAGTCATCTGAAAGTTGTGAACTTTAAGAAAAGTTCTAGGGATACTATTTGCAGTACCAGCACTTCAGAGAATCCTTTTCTGATGATGCACTGGAGCGAGCTTTCTCAGGCTTCCTGTATTATTAGATGTGGTATACCTCCTCAGTTGCTGATGTGTATTACTGCATAGATACTCTGGTTCTTGAAGCTGCTCAGGTTTCCCTTTACACTGAATAGATAGGAAACTCAGTGTCAAATCTGTGGCCACCTCCAGAAAATGCCTATGTGTGAGGGTGTGTGATTTTGTACACTAACTTTATCCCAGCTGTATTTCTTTCCTTAAAATTATTTACCACTTATCTTCATTTCTTCATCTATTTATTTTCTTATCTTCTAAAGTTCTCTTCTCTTTTTAAAATGAGCTGGTATACAAATTAGCACATAAATAAGAGCTATCTTAAATATTTAAGAAGCCATCCTTTTGATCCACTCTTATTATGTGGATCTCAGCTCTTGGCTTTGCTGTCTGTTGGGGAAGCCTCCTGGCAGGTCTTGCTGCATCCTCTCCACCCGTCTGCAGTTCCCCACCTGCAGAGTAGAGCCTGGCAGCTCAGGTATAGATGGCCTTTCTTAGCAGTATCTCCATCCATTTGCAGACTGATTTCCTGGGGCTCTCCTCCTGGTGCTTCCTGTCTTCCCACAGCTCTCATTTCTGCTTCTCTGCCTTTGCTGTCATTTCCGTTGATCTGAATCCTTTCTCCTGTTCCTCCTTCGTGTTTCTCTGCTCAGAGTAATTTCCGCTGTGAAACCTCTGCTGATCTCCTCCAGGCAGGGCGGACCACTTCCTGGGTGTTGCTTCCTCTCCTGGCGCACGTGTCTGGGTGCACTAACCAGGCTGCTGCTTGCCCCCAGGTGCCTTTGTGCAGATTAAAAAAGCAACTACCCCTTCTTCAAGACACTGAATAAACTTCCAACTGTTGGAAAACTATCTTCATAAATACAATTTCAGGATGTTTACCCTGTGAGTATCGCCCTGCCCAGGTGCACAGTTGTACATCTGTCTGTGTTGCAATTACTGTGAACTGTCCTGTTCTCCTCAGAACTGTTTGATGAGAGCAGACCGTCGACAACCATTTGGTAAATGAAAGAATGAAAGGTACAAATAAGTGTCACACTCTTGTCAGGAAAAACATTAGTGAAGGTATACCTGACCAGGCCTTGTGCACTGAACGTTATGAATACATTTTAGTGCAGAGACACATTCCTGTCTTTCTGAAATCAGTGGGTATTTTTAAGTCAGTGTATCATGATGGCTAAATGTACAGACTCTAGAGCTAGACTGCCTGGGTCTGACTCCCAGTTCTACCATTTACACACTTATCTGTATGACTTCACACATGTCATTTAATCTCTATGTGCCTCAGTTTACTCTGTAAAGTGGGGTTGATAACAGTAGTTTCTACTTCATGTAATTATTAGAGAATTAAGTGAATTATTATATGTAATATATAATAGTGTCAGGCACATAATGTGTGCCTGATAGAGATGTAATAGCTATTACCAATATTACTATAGGCTGGGTATACATTTAATACACTATTGTTTCCTTTCAACTTTGAAGAGCTGTTTTTTAGTCCTTGTACAGCTTTATGATAGCATATTGTCTCAGTGGGTGCCTGACTGGGCCCAGGATTATGTGTGCTGCAGTGTGTCCCCACCTGCTGCTGTGTGTCCCCAACCCCCATACCAGTTTTCTGGTCGCTGCAACAAGAGGTTCATAGCACACAGACAGGAAACCAGCAGGCTTTGTTTTTTCTTCTTAATATGGTAAAAGAAAAAGTGGGGAAAAACCATGGCCCTTTGCAGACTAGCTTGTTTTAGAGGTTAAACTTAACCCCTTGCTTATGTTCTAAAGCTTGGGTTGGTAATAAATCTTGGCTGTATAAAACTGGGAAACAAAGAATTGATTTGAAAAATAATTTTAATGTAAAATCTTTGTCTAATTTCAGGGCAACTTTCCTTTGATGATTTTCAAGAAAGCTGTGCTATGAGGTGGCAAAAGGTAATGAATGAACCGGGACCAGCCCCCTGTTAAACCCGCCGGGTTTATGCTCAAGTTGGAATGTAGAGGAATTTGCTTACTAAACAGTTGGAGGTTTCTCCTGGTCTTCAGTGCTCACTGCGGCTGTAAATTCACCTGCGAGAGGGGTGGCTGTGCATTGTTACCCCCTCTGACCCCTCCTGTGGTCTGGCTTCTGAGACTCCAGCCGTGTGGGAAGCTCTGCAAAACTCATGCTCACTGCCCCACCCTGATGAGCTTGCCTGCAAATTTAGTAAGATCTGACTAATGCATTCTTTGGAGATGCTCTGACCATTTTCATTATGAGACTGCATAGCTTTTCCCAGATCACATTACTGTAATTGACTTTGCACTCCCCTTTGAAGTGTTCTTACATGCTGCCCAGCACTAGCCAAAACTCTCACAGCAGCTGCAGTACATCTGTTTGGGGCTTTAGCCATCTTTTCTTAGTTGAACAAAAGAATATATAAAAATATAAGGATTATCTAAAACTTCACTCTAATTCGCTGAAATGATCAAAACCCTTTATGTACATAAACCTGGAGTCACTGTAATTTCAGTAGATCTGGTCAACTTCAGCCCTGGCCAAGAGTGTTTAATTATCAGTGCATGAGAAACTTTCTCCAGCAGGCCTTTAGGGATTCATTTACATTCAGGTTTCAGAAATGGTAGGCAGACAGTTGTTACTACCCTTCGTATTCTAGATGGTGGAGAAGCAGACAGTGGAAATCTATTTACCTTGACTCATAGTCCAGCCACTGGAGGAACTAGCATCATCTTTATTCTTCTGCACAGCAGTGCCTTGGACCCCTTTAGGTCATATCAAAGACTTGGTTTTCTGAAAAAGCACATAAAATCTAGCAAATGGGGACATACACACTTATGGTCATCTCTCCTTTATCTAAACTGGAATTTCTCTCTCTGCCCAAAATCTCATTTCTGTTTGGAGAAATGCAAAGATGGAAGAATTTACCTAATTCTCACCTAGGATGAGGTTGCCCCTGATGTAGTTTGGGTGGTCAGAGCAAACTGGGACCCACAGGAAGAATCTGACTCATGTATTTTGTTGGGTTTTGTTTTTGTTTTTGAGTTGTTAACATTTAAAGTTTGGGCAATTTAACAAAATAAAAGACCTCTGGAAAACTTAAAAGATCTGACCAGACTTGCTGGGGCCACAGTTAGCTGGGGCCCCACTGGAGCTGCCCTTGGCCATGTTTTCCTCTTTTCAGTGTCTGCTCTCAGTTATGTGACCCGTCTGGCCCTGTGGGCATTTGAATTGGTACCCTGATCTACGCCACTGTCCTAATCTATGTTACGGCCAAGTATCTTTCAGGGCTCCAGAAAGACCCAGGCTGGGTATGAGCAGTAGTGAAACAGACACCAGGAAGCTGGATAATTGGTGCCGTCAAGGCCCACCTGCTGCTCTTAGCCTCATGCAGGCCTTTGGGGACAGGAGTAAGGCCAGGGTGGGTACGGTGCTCTGGATTTGCAGAGCTGGCTCTTCTCCATCTGTTCATTCAGCTTGAAAGTCATGACCACACTTGCCTTGTCCAGGGGGTGGGACATTTTCTTTATAAGAAAGAAAGCAGCCAGTGACCACTCCAGCCCATTCGTAGGCTCGTAAGACCAGCTACTGCCACAAAAGGAAAATCTTCCTGTTTACCAGCCGGCATGGGACAAAGTGGTTGTGCTTCCTGGCCATGCGGGACTTGGCAGGCAGGCCGGGTTCTGTCCGAAGGGACAGCAGGGCTGAAAGCCTGCTCTGTACTCCGCCATCGCCCCCACAGCCTGGGGCCTGGATGCAGGCCACCCTTGGGAGGCCCTTTTTCTTTGGCTCCAGAACCAGCACTGGCATTCTGAAAGGAAGAAAATGGGGAAGGTGGCCTTGCCTCCTGGCATGCTTCGTCCTTAGCTTTCCTCTCCCCATGGGGCCCAGTCCAGGCAGGCAGAGGCCCTTGGCACAAACCTGAATCTAACAGTAAATATGCATCTTTTGTTTTTAAGTCTCCAGGAAGCAGGATGCCAATGCCTCTGAGCAGACTGATCCTTTTCAGCGGTGTGATGGCTGGCGGGTCCTGGGCCCTCATATATTACCTTATACAGAGTAAGTTTCCAGCCAACCCCCACATCTCCACCCCTTCCTCATACTCTTGTCCCTGTTCCTCTGTCATAGGAGATAGTTCAGATGCTTTTAGCAGGTTAGAGAAAGGAGGAGAGGGCTGTTTTTAGAAGCCAGTACATCATTCCACTGGTCATAGCTTCCTCATCCTGTAATCCCAGTTTTTCCTGGAGCCACAAGTGCAAATAAAAGGACCAGGATTTGTTTGCATAAGAAGCCTTGTAAAAAGCAAGATGGGCTTATGTGTCAAGATTTCTGAGACCATATAAAAGAGGGGAGATACCAGATGGTTCACAGGTGGGGGAAACTGGCCGTTTCTCAAGTGTGGTCAGCCTGTTTGCCTGCCATTCTGTGCTGTTGATTTAGTGGAGGAAGGAACCTTGAGCAAGAGATTGGTGAGAGTAGAAAAGAAAAGCAGAGTCCAGAATGGTGGAGTCCTGACAGATGCTGCTTCCAGCCCCACTGCACCTAAATTTGAATTTGTAAAGATAAGTCACAGTTACTGTGAGCAGCCAGGATATTTAAGGTCAAGGTCACTTCAGTGCTACTAGTTGTGAAGTAGCAGCAGTTTTTTGTAGACTGACTTTCTTTGAAGATTCTTTCTGCTGCCCAGTGTGGCTCCTCACCCTGACTCTGCAGCATTCTCACTCCCTTCCAGGATGCTAGTGTCACCAACAGACAGGAAAAAAGAGCCCACTGTCCTTGCCACCCATTCTTCCCCACCTTCACAGTCAGCCCAGAGGGCCCTGTGTCTAGAGGTGACCTTGGATGAGCATTACCAGGGATAATACAGAATATCAGAAATAAATCAGAATAATTCAGATAATTGGAGTAGCTCAAGCTTCTCTCCTCTCCTCGCTGCTGAAGGGACAGGGGCAGGGCACAGTGGGGATGACCACGCTTCCCCAGTGGAGGTGGGGGCCTTCCGATAGCCCAGCCGGGCTCTGCAGCTAACCACCCTGGGCTGAATCCAGGCTCCGGCTCCTGACTGGCTGCATGGCATTGTGGGGGGAGTTTCTCACTTTCCTGGGCCTCAGTTATCTATCTTATATGATGAAGGATAATAGTGCCTGTCCATGAGGTTTTTTTTTAAATTAAACAACTCTCATAACCTGTGGTAATGAGACCTGTGATACAGGAAATACTGCGAACGGTGTCTTGCTATGGAAGTCTGGCCCCAGCCCTGTGGTGGCTGGCTCCTGTTCCTCCTGCAGTGGCCCCTGCAGCCCCCCTGGGGGGTGTCCTTGGCCTTTCTAGGCACAAGCTGCCTTTCCCTTCCATTGCTGTGGCCAGGCCTGTAGGAGGGAAGCTCTTCCTTGTTGCCAAACGAAAACCCTGGAAAGCCCAGCTGTTCTCTTCCTTAGGCCAGCTTTTCATATCTTACTCCTTCAAGGAGGTGGTTCTCGGTGATCCTGGTAGCCTTTGGGCCAAGAAGGGCTCCTGAGACTGAGAGCCTTTTATAGCTTTATCTCCGTGAAATGTTGGCTTAAATCTGTAAACTGGACCGGTTAGCATTTTCATGTCCTTTTTCTTGGCCTGAGGGTTTTATTATTATTGTTGTTGTGGTCTGTTTTATGCTGGTTTACCAGGACCCTCATCTGAGTAGGAGGAGCAGTGTGTGTAAGTCAGGAGACTAGGTTCCGGCCCCAGCTCTGCCTCGGACCTGCCGAGTCACTGAGCAAGTCGTGGGATTGTAAGACTTTAGAACTGAAAGGGAAGTTACAGAAGATCTGATCAGACCACGTAAATGAAGAAATGAGGCAGGGAATGAGAGATGCAAAAAATGAGGCCCATCAAGGCCAGGCTCCGCGCCGAGGGCGTCTGCCGCACCCCCACAGCTGCTGGCTTTCCACACTCTGGTTCTGGAGTCTCTGAAGTGGACAGGTTAGAGTAAATGGTCCCTAATTAGTCTTCCAGTCTTAAATTGCACTTCTGCTTCTGTTTCCATGTATATGAATTGTATCACTTAGCTTTCTAGAGAGAGTTTACCTGACCAAGTTCAATAAAGAAAAGTGAATGTAACCACCGTCTTTTCCTCTTAGAAACTTTCTCCAGGGCTTCCTACTACCAGCTGGGATTGGAGCAGCTACATAGCCACCCCGAGGCACTGGAGGCTCTGGGCTGTCCTCTCAGCGTTCACTTTCTCCAGCTCACTGACAAGCACAACTTCGTTGACATTGCTGATGCTCAGGTAACATGCTCCCCCTGCCAGCTGCAGGGTGGGTGCCCACTGAAGTCAAGGAGGGGGCTGCTGAAATTGGAGAGAGCTTTGGAGTGAGGATTGGGATGGAAGAATACCACTAGCTTTTACTGATCATCTTCTGGAAAAGCATTATTGATTAAGTTATTTTCATATATATTTCTTAGTGTGGCAGGGAATGCAGTGTTTGGACCCAGGGTACCATCCTGAATTGACGGTGTAGAGAAAAGACCAGTGGTAGTTTGCCAGCACTCCAGCTTTGAACTTGAAATAACATCTACAGCCAGTCAACACTCACACAAATGTGAACAACTTTTTAAGCTTTAGTTTTAAAGCTTATTTCCATTGCTTCCATGGAGTGCAGCCCATTTTCTCAGCAATGTCTTATGTTACACTGCCCCAAATATAAATTGCATTTGTCCTTCTGTTTAGCAAATACAACTGAGCACACACTGAGTTAGGAGCATGAGTCTAAGCTGTGTGGGAAGTACAGAGGCAGAAGGTTTTTGGGGGTTCATAGTTAAAAACTCCAGAAGCAGACATGGTGAGGCACATGCTGTGGTAGAGGCCCTGGGGGGCTGGTTGGCAGCCAGCTGCCGAGGGAGGGGCAGCCAGGCAGGTGGGCTGGGGCGGCTGGTGGCTGAGGCCTCTCCTCTGAAGGGTGCCCGCTTGGTCCTGCAGCCTGCAGATGCCCTGGCGTGTCTTGAGTATAAGAATGAGGTGAGCTGACCTAGTTTATTTTTGGTTATTATTGTTTTTATTTTTAACTGAAATAGTTTGGGATTTTTTTCTAACTACAAAACAGTGAATGCTCTAGTAGTCTGATTAAAGTATTTGATCTGCTCTTGAAAGAAAGTCAATTCATGCAGCTTGGTCCCACCTGGGTCCTGGGTCCAGGAGCTGCCTTGAGGAGAGCAGTGCGGCCATGCAGGTGTGCAGCAGTGTGAGCTGTGGCCTGGAGAAGTGAGAAGTGGGTACAGAGGCTGTTGTGGCAGCCAGGAGACAGATACTGTGGCCAGGTGATAGGACTTGCTACCAGTTTGAGCAGGAGCACGGTGGGTCAGAGGTGAAGCTCCAAGGTCTCGGGTGAGTGGATGATGGCAGTGCCATTAAGTGAGAGAGAGAATCCAGGAGGAGCACAGGGAAGGGGTGGACATGTGTGGAGGGCCCACTCTGTCAGACGGCCCCACATGCACTGTCACCAAATACCTCACAGCCCATTGTGTGGCTCCACATGCCTCCCCATCTCTGGTCACTTGGCTGGCTCCCCGCAAGCTTGAGAACTGGGAAAGGCCAGGATCGTGTGTGGCTGTCCCCCGTGTCTGCCGGCTTAGAGCACAGGGCCTGTGGTGACACACGGGAATCCTGCAGGCACCTTTACGGAAGGCGGTCTGGCGCAGCAGCAGTTCCAGGATGTGGTGCCCCGTGAGTGGTTGACTCCGTGGTGGTTTTGGTGGGGCGTCTCCCTTGGTCAGGTCAGCTGTCACTTTCGCCCGTCTTCTCCCATCCATGCCTGCTGGCGCTGGAGGGCAGCTTGGGGCCCAGAGTTGCCCCAGGATGCTGCTGGCTGTGCTTCTGGGGCCAGCCGCTGATGCTGCTAGATGCCGTGACTCCAGTGACAGGAGTTCAGGTCTGCTGCTCCAGAGCCATCAGTTGCCCCAGTCCTTGCTCTTCAGTTTATGGGGTGCTTAACCTTCTGTTAGGCTTCCTCACTTCCCCCTTTGCGGTCAGGAGGAATGCCTGCATGCACACATGTCCTCTCTTGGTAGTTCCATTATTTTGTCCAGAGGTGAGGTATTCGTGTGTTGTTCATGATATAGTTGTCTTACTGAAAATTTTTTCCCCATGTATGTGTGAAGTACTAACCACCAACACTGGTTTACCAGGCATTCCTGCTTTCCTCTTTGGTAAGGCCTAGCTGGTGAAACCAGCCCATAAAGTGGCTCACCCACCCATGGAGGCCCAGCTGCCCAGAATTCAGACACTGGCCCCTGAATGTGTGCTATTCTCCAAAATCCTACTTACTTCTGCCTTTTCTCTGCCCTCTTTTTCTGTTTCTTTTGACATGCAGAGATGCTCAATGTGTGCTTTGTTGCTTAATTTTATAATCCCCTGAGAAGAGCTGTAGCTTGATTCCAAAAGTGGAACCCTGAAGAATCATTTTAGTGTGACCAGGTGACTGCTTATCCACTCAGGGTATGGAGCCACCACCCCAAAGCTTGTGTCATTTTAAAGTGTGTTTCAATAAATGCAAGACAGAATTTTGGAAAACAGATGTGTGTGTATATATATGAAAACCGTTCTTTCTCTTGGTAGCAGTTTGGAGTGGGTGACATAGGCCATCTCTTAGCCCATGAAAGTACTTTTGGCCATCCCCCCGGGAGGTGCCTGATGATGGGCTTCCTTGTTACCACATTGCATCCCGTTCACAAGGCTCAAACTGTTTTAGTTTTTACTGAGAAACCAAAAATATTGCATTCGTTATTTTTCTAAGGAGGAGGATTAACAGACATCCACCAGCTTGCTTTGAGGTCCTCATGCTTGGGGCGTGGCAGCTTCTGGGCAGCCCCCACTGTGGCGTGAGCCTGGCCCATGGTGCCCGGTGACTAAGAACTGACCAAAAGCTCCTGGTTGTCCTTCTCAAACCAGCCCTCACATCATTTCTTAAAGCCTATTCTTTAAGGTCCAGGTCAAAGTGTGTACTGGTTTGCTGGCAACAGCTTCCCCTTTTAAACAGTAGACCTTATTTCTTCCCTTTTACTTTTCTATTTTATTATGAAAAGTTTCAAACACATAGAAAGATAAAAAAATTTATGCTGTCACTTGAACTCTACAATTGATACTTGGCTTGGATGGCTTCACTCCACACCTATTCGTCTAGCCACATCTGTTTGTCCATGAACACATCTTGCTGTTTTCAGACATCTCTATAATTTAAGCACATAAGCAGTGTACACTAACCAGAGTGTAATGTTTATTTATGGTTCTTTTTGTTTTTTTGAGGTAATTTTTCTATTCTGCGAAAGGTACAAATTTAAGTGTCCTATCTGATTAATTTTAACAAATGCTCACACCTGTGTAGCTCAGGCCCTGCTCTAGCTGCAGCTTGTTCCCATCGCAGTCCCCTCCTGCTCTGCCCGGCCGGTCCCCCTCACATCCCCCAGCCCTACCAGACGCCATCACTTTTTTGGTATTTTTTCCTAGCAGAGGTCAGCCTGTTGTAGACCATGGAATTATGCATTATATACTCTTGCGTAAGGCTCTTTTGCTTAGCATGTTTTTTATACTCACCCATGTTGTTGTATATTTCTTTTAACAGTGGATTTTGAATAATCATTTTAAGTACTCAGTGCACTGTGGTCTCCTTGCTAAATAGGAGGACTGCCATTGACCTCACCTGACCACCCAAAGAGGGCAGGACATTTGGAGGGAGCCAGATGGGAAATCAGGTGAATTCTCCAGCTAGGCTCCAATTAGAAGCCAACCAGATGCTGTGGGCAGTCACCGTGTTTCATAGGGTTAGCTACAGAAAGCACTGTTTCGTCATCTCTTGAGGAGACACTACATCCAATTATCTCTCTCATTTTATACCCCCAGTTGAAGATTCCTGTCTCTGGCTCCAAATCAGAGGGCCATCTCTATGTCAGCTCATACAGAAGTGGTCCCTTTAAGAGGTATATGGAAGGTGGGTGGGAATGGGGGGAACAGGAGGAGAACTTTCTGATGGAAACAATCCTGAGTCCTGTTTTCAGCTCTGATTACATGATTGTGGTATGAGAACCCGTTTGTCAAAGCTTGAACAGTTTCGTAGCAGCAAGTCTGCATCTTGGCTCTTAGTCTCAGTCCAGACCTTTCAATCCAACATGTTCTGAGTTGTCCTGTCCTTATGCTACTGAAGATTGAAGAACTTCACAGTTGTAGTGGTCAGGGTCTCCCTGACCTAGATAATTTGATGCTGTGTTACAGCTTATAACACTGCTGCCTCAGTCATTACAAATGAATAAAGGCGTTCCAGAATTATTCATCACATTCTTTTAATGGGGTAGCTCTCCACCTCATTAATTGGCTTTCTTGTCTGGGTGCCAATACTTACATTCACTCACTTTCCCCATGGGAAGCCTCTCTCAGACATGTTTGCTGTTTGGCCAGGAGGTGCTTTAATTCCCCAGGACCAAAGGAGCAGGCACCCTTAGGCTGCCACCTGGCTCCCCCTGGACTTCCTGGCCCCTGAGAGTTAGAGGAGGGGCTGGCCAGTTCCATCCAGGATCTGAGGGTGGTGTGAAGACAAAATGGGGAACAAGCTGCTCCTTCTTGTTCCTGATGCCCCTTCCATTCACCTGCCAGTCATTCATATTTAACTTGCCTTGACAGTGATGCTGGTTAAAGTATGAGGCCAGAGTAAAATGTTAAAACTATATTAACATAGCTCAAACATAATAAATTAGTGTTTAAAAAATTTGAGATGCCATTCCCAAAGCTTGTTTTTTCCCCTTTTTGACCAGGTCTTTTCACTCATTGTTCCTTTGATTAAAGAGACTGTACTTTTGGTTTCTATCAGGTGGTATCTTCAGGAGGTCTTCCTAGAGCTCAGGGACGGTCAGCAGATTCCTGTGTTCAAGCTGAGTGGGGAGAATGGTGATGAAGTAAAAAAGGAGTAGAGGTGATGGAGTAGACCCAGCTTTCTCTAAGCATGGCCTTCCCTCATCACCACGGACCCTCCAGGGCTGCAGCCAGTTTTCCAGCCCCCAGGGGGGGTGTATGTGCTGGCGTATGGTCATTTTGGTATAATCCCAATTTGACCACAACTATTGTGAGTTTTTTAAGATTAAAAAGAAATGAAACTTTTACTATAAGAATTTATTTGAAAGTTCTCTGAAAGCAAAGCACAAGATAGAAGGAATCAATATTAATAAAGTGTTTGTTGATTTTTTGCTGGTTCTCATCTCTCTTTTCTGCTCTCCACAACCTCCCCATAATTCCTGTTAGCTCTGCGAGGGTTTCAGCTGTTAACCTGAGAATGCCAAGAAGGGGCTGCGCTTTGGTTTGGTCACTGTACCCTGAGGTTGTGTAGCTACGGACGCTGTCACTTGGCCGTATTTTTTTTGCTCCACTTTTGTTTTATTTCTTACTTCTGTTTTAGACACAGCTGTCTGCCTGATTGAAGATTTGCAAAATAACTACTTTAATCCAAACATTTTGAAAGCTTAAGAATATCTCTGTGTATAGATAAGCACATGTAAAACTAACACCAGAAAGCTGGGCTAAAGCTAACAGGTCCTTCCCCCCTCTGCTTTCCAAACAACTAAACCACATGTTAGCGCCTCATACATTTAGGTGTTACTAGTCTTAGAAAGGCTTCTCTCTGAGCACGAGAGCCCACAGGAGCCAGAAATCTGGTGCCTCAGCTTTGAAGAGCCCATTCACTCTCTTAGTGTTATCAGGGTTAAATGCAGTGATGACTGCCTACAGTGCAGGACACTCATGAGCTCTTTTCCTAGCTTCTTGACGTTGCTTGAAGAGAAGCCTCTCAGAAAATAAGCTTTAAACTTGCTGGAGGAGTATGAGACCTTCAGTTACTGGAAGTTCGTTCTGTTCTAGAGTTTGATTCTTTAAAAATGTATGTCCTTTGAATAGATTACACAGCAAAGAGTCTCTCCCCGAGGGCACTTTTGCCAGTGTTTATTGGTCAGTATTATGGTCGGTACAGGCCTCGAACATGACTGCTCCGGCGCTGTGCACGGTCTGCGCTGGCCTGTGCTCTGCCAGCTACGACTCTCTTTTTGCCTGCGTGTCAGCTGATGCAGTGCTTCCTATCTGATGTTCTCCAACAGCTTTTACTTCCTTTCAGTGTCTCCTTTTTCTGTTGTTCAGGCCAAATCAGAAAACCAGGGCCTTATGTGAGCTCTCTGTTCTGATGTAAAAGCAAGTGCCAATTTTTGTTGGTATAGAATTTGTATTAATTCAGAGGCTTTTCTGAAGAACTAGTATTATGTAGTGAAAAGATCCTTGATTTCTGTTTGAAAGTCACCATTGGGGCATTTCTTCAGGTTAAGTTTGCTTCCATCTATGTACTTGTTAATGCCTCCTTGGGTAATTGTGAACAGGCCAGAACCTGGTCCTTACAGCAGACATTGGTTTTCCTTTTCCTGAAGCATAGTAGTGATGTGTATTTGCAGCCTCCCACTTCCTGTGTATCCAGGAACCAGTGAGACTTGGCACTGACTCCCGTTAACTGCCTGGAAGACATCTGGGATAATGCACACCGTCATCTGAGGAAAAGGCATCTTGTGATGTGACCCTGAGCCGAGTCTGAACAAGTACCCCCAGCACACCCCGTAATAGCAAAGACAGCCCAGGCACTAGAGAAAGGACTTAATAGAATTGTTAAGAATTATAAAGACTGCAGAAGAGAGATCACAGCCAACAAATCAGATACCACAGCCAACCAGTGGTAGTAGGACTCCCAGGTGCTGTTAGCTATAGCGGCAGTGTGGTCTCCACGCACCCCAGGTGGCTTGCCTGCCGGTGTGCTGAGTGGGCTGGGGTGGTGAGAGTTGCAGTGTTACAATACTGTGCCAAGGGTTTAAAGCAGCAGTGCTAACATGACGTAGAAGAGGTACACCAGTCAGGAGGAATCCAAGAGGCTGTAAGGTGGGAGTGGTGACCCAATGGGCCTTGAAATCTGAGATTTCTAGGGCGAGCCTTGCAAGTAGAGAGAACAACATAAAAAAAGGCCTTGGCTGGAGGAAATGTGAGCTATGCCTCAGAAATAAGATCTTCAATTGGCCAATGTAGAGGTTAGCTGAAGATGAGTACGAGAAAGCCCTAGAAAGGTAGGTTGGCCATAATGGGAATGGCAGCATTCGGATTTTGCATGCAGCTTGTGGTCATCATAGATTTTGGAGTAAATTTTACTGTTAATGAAGGTTTAAGAGACTGTTGTATGTGTACTGACAAGCCCTGTATGACTTCAAAATAAACCACAAATTTTACTGTCATTTAGTCCATTTTTCCCCTCTTCCCTCCAACTGTCCTCCATTCACCAATCCAGAGATTTGATAATACCTGAGAAGTCAAGGTTTTATTACTCCCAGTTTTGGTCAAGTTGCATAGAGCAAAGATGAAGTGGAAATAAATTACATATCATGAGACAGCCAGAACTTGACAAATTGTGGCCTGTGTTGTCTGGCACAGAGGGAAGGTCAGGGAGGAGCTCTGGAGGGCCTTCTGAGGCAGCCTCAGGCCTCTTGAACATTGCATGTTTTCAGTTTGTCAGTATGCAAAATATAAATACATACCAGTTGTCTTACAGGTGAGGCAATGTTTATGCTGCTCTTTGAGATGCTTGAGCAAAAGGTGCTGTGTACACAGGAGGCCTTTTGCTTGCGGGGGTCAGGGAGGTGGGAGGGGGTAGGAAAACTTTCCACCTATAAGACTCTCACCTCCTTAGGAACCTGCTCATAGTCCAGGCTTGGCCGTCAGCTGACTCTGCAGAGTTGCTTAATTCAAAGTACTGTCAGGAATGTGTACAGGAAAACTGGCACTTTATGAGCTGGCATAGAAAAGTGGGAGATGAAAATATTAACATGCCTCTCAGACACAGGTGTGTATCACAGATTACATGTGAAATATTAAGCACCTTTTATTATACTAAATAGTAAAGCTTCAAGGCAGAAATTTTCTCCCACCACAAATTATAATACTTCTAAAATTCAGCTACCATGTTATTGTCACCTTGCAGTCTTAATATAAGAAAGTAATTTTTTACTTCCAAATTTTTATTGAGAAACTATAGACCAAGCCTCTCATAAACATTGTTACAAAAATACTAGATATTAGCAAACTGAATCCCATGATATGGTAAGTAGTGTATTATTTTTCACAAAGTCTTTTGGTGCCTCTCCCTTGCAGTGCCCTTCTCTGTGGGAAGATTATACCTCCCTGCCTTGTTGAACTTGGGTGTGACCATGATTTGTTTTGGCCAGTGAACTGTGAGCGGAAGTGACATGCAAAACTTAGAGGGGAGGTTTCAGTGTCAGCCTTTGGCTCACCATGTCCTCTCTTCTCTATTCCCTGAGATCAGTAATGTCCCAAATGGCAGCAGCTCCAGGGACTAGGGTTGTGGAGGGAAGATGATGTATAGCAGAGCTACAGCTCACCCATAGTGGGACAGGTAGCATGAGCGAGAAAGAAACCCTTATGCCTGTAAGGTTAGGGGCCACTTTTACTTCAGCGTAACCTAGCCTCCCTGTTCACAGTGACTGAGAGAGCTTTATTCTAGGAATGCAGGGTGATTCAGTATTAGGAAATCCACTAAACAGTTTATCATATTAATGGAGCTGAGGAGGAAAATTACATGATTTTTAAGGTACAGAAAAGTATTTGACATAAATTCACTAAATATTCACATTAAAAGCAGTCAATTAAATGAGAATTAGGTATTTCTGCTTGTAAGAGGTTCCCAAATCAGCATCTCTGTTGGAATATGAGGGATTTTTCCACTGAAGTCAGAAGCAAATGCACAATATGCACTATTATTTAATACTGAATTGTGTCCAACACAATTAGGCAAAAATAAAAAAGCAAGAG